ATCTAAGAAGAGGTATGTGGCTTGATGACATTGATCCTGCAACAAATCAGTTCCTCAAACCAGACCCTAAAAGTAAGCTGGGTAGTTTCGGAAACCACCCTGACCTTTGGAGCACAGCATACAGCATGGCAGTAATGAGTCCCTAACTGTCATGGTCTGTGTTTTGCCAGCATTAAAATACTGCCTGCCATTCCCCCCTGACCCTGGGGCTGACATGTGGAGAATGGGTGGTAACACTATCAAGAAAGTGCTGCACAGTGACCTACAGTCAAGTAGCCAAAACAGATGGACCAAAGGAAAAATTAAAGGTACACTGAATTAGAAATCAAACGTCACAGGCTTGTATTAGATGAGTGGGAGAATGGTCCTTCTAAGAGGTCAGCTTGTCATTCATCTTAAGTGATGAAGTGGCTTCTTTAGCCAAAAGTTGTACAATATTTGGGGCCCAAGGTCAGGTCACTCTGTAAATGTTTGTTGCAAAAGAAGAAAGTGTTCGCTTGTCAATCTGGCCACATCCAGAACCTTCTGATGCCATCTTTGATTAAGAGGGGCAATGGTCCTGGCTGGTGTGGCTCAGCAGATCAAGCACCGGCCTGCGGACCAAAAGGTCACTGGTTTGATTCTCGGTCAGGGCACATGCCTGGGTTATACTCTGGTCAGAGGTGTGCAAGAGGCAACCAGTTGCATGTGGATGTTTCTCTTCTTCCCTTTCTCCCTCCCCTCCACTCTCCCTAAAAACAAACAAATAAAATATTACCAAAAAAAAGAGAAGAAGGTCAATGTCTTCTTTAGCCTGTGGTGATGAGTTGGGAGTGAAGACACCTGGAGTTTTCTATATAGCTCTGACCTAATACATGCCTAGAGTACTTCAAGAGAAAGAAAGAAATTTGGTGTCTATTTGTTACAGTCACTAGTATTGCCTTAACTTATACAATCTGATCTGCATTATGGAAGAAAAGTCATGATCTAGTGCCAAAGGTGCACGAGGTACCACCAAACAGGTGGGAACGCTGAGGCCTGGGACTGTTTTCCACTCTGCCTTCCCTTCCCTAGAGGTGATGTCCCTCACTGCATGGATCCCTGGATTTTGATGATATTTGAGAGCAATTAAAACCATGTTCCCACAGAGCCTGCTCATTTGTGAGGTGGGATTCAGTGGTGCTAGGGTCTGCCCCACGGAACCTCTCAAATGCAAAGTTAAGCCACTGGGCTAGAGGACACTATTGTCGCTGGTGCAGAGAATGAGGTGGGGCTGTTACAGGAAGGTCATTAAGCATCTGATTTTTATGCCTTTGGTGTTTTTATCATCTAGCCTGTGGTCACCTTGTTCTCTGTACTCAAGTCACAAATGAAGGCAGTCAGCATCATCTGTCAGGGGAGAAATATTTTGTCAGCAAGTCTCACTAGTCTGTTCTTTTCTAACCTGTCATCACCAATTAACCCTTTGTGGAGGGAGGTCTTTGTTATCATTTTTTCAGAATCAATAGGATGGTCGTCTTACTGATTCATGGTTGAGAAATTTATGTAAGTCTATGAATTGCCTTGGAGGACAATGAGCCAATGAATTTTAACTTGGGAAAATGTCACATGGACAACTCCTGTCTGTAAAGGCAGGTGTTTCAAGATTAGTCAACCTATTCTTACATCAGCCACTGTAAATTTCAGGATTTGCGCTCCGCTTCCTGGAAGGGCAAATCCACACATTTCCCTTCTCAGTCCTATGCAAGCTCTCTTCTCAGACTCTGGAATGATATCAGGGAACGCAAGTTGAGTCAGATTTCTCATTACACTCTCTGACAGAGGTAGAGGCTTTCACTGTTTATGCAGGCAGTGGGAGAGCATCCGGGTGAGAAAAATAAAAAGCCAAAGGCAGCTGCTGGATCAGAATCTGAAAGTCTAACAAATGCCTCAGACTTGAGTAAATCCCCACCAATAAGCACATTCTCTATCACTCCCAGCAAAGTTAAGGAATATAATCTGAAACCAGAAGGGAAGCATCAGGCAACTGGGAGGTATATGAAGATCAGCCCAAACCCCCAGCCATCATCTGAGGGCCAAAGTGTGCCATATGCACTGTACATTGATTATGATGGTGAAGGGCTTACAATTCATCATGGGCATTTTGTGTATTACTCAAACCCAACAGATGGGAAATTGGCAGGTCCTGTCAAATAGAATATTCAACATTAACTCAAGTGGACCAATAAAATCATCATAAACCATTTTAGAATATTCTTCAACCACAAAACTCAACGATTAAATCAGACACCTCTCAGCTCTCATTCAGTGGTCATTCCATGGTGTGTGACATCCACAGGATGTTTTGCTCCTAAAGTTCAGAGGATATGACTTCAACTTACATAGACTGAGGCTTGTGACACTGTACCAAATTAAAGAAACCTATTGAAGTCTGTCCCCAAAGAACATTTAGCCAGGTAACATCTGGAAGAGCAAGTAACTGTGCAAAAGCTCAATTCACATAGCATAGATTTATTAGATCATTCAACAAAGAACTAACAATATAATGTATAGACAGATGGATGGATGATGACAATGTCTATACATTGGTTTGGAAGCTTTCCAAAAGGAGATGCCAATGACTGACCTTCACCATTCTGTCACTGAGAGATGGGGAGAAGACTAGATGTGAACAGGCAACTTAAAAGGTGAATATGGCAGGTGAGTGGCAAGTTTCTTCAGAACAGGGCAATGCCTGGAAAAGTGGGTAGGATGGTATCAGGGTGGTGAGTGAGCAGTGTCCCCTGAGATCCTATGATGGAAATCCCAAAATGTATTTTTAGAGACAAGATCATATAATGTGATATGAGTGTACTTCACTTCAAGAGCAGCACAGGCCTTTTCATGAACTCCAGGAGGTGTTTCTGTGGGAAGAAGTGGTCTACTGTGGAACATTTGCACTACTCAAATGGCCCATGGATTAAGAAAAAGAAAAAAAGAGAGAAGGGAAGCCTGCTGGTTGGATTAAGGTTTAATATTCAATCCTTGTTCCCTCTTATTGCAAACTTGCTGATTTGGAGCCAGTGATTAAAAGGTGTGTGGAAACACAATGCTTTTTGTAATTTGGAGATTTTTTTATTCAAGTAAATTAAGACAATGTTTAGAAATTCTTGAGATGATCATTGGCATTAAAAAAGCTGAGTGTTAAAAAAGCAGGAATGTTCGCTCCAGAGACTTACTCTTTCCAAGTAATTCTCAGCCTTTCCAAAGTCTGTCTTCTACTGGGCATTTCTGCCCAGGGAAAAACATTCAACACAAAAGCACAGCTGAGAGTCACATTTCCACTTGTACTGGAAACTCAGAGATATCGCTGTGCGTCTCCCCTTTGAAGTGGAGTGACCAGGGAGGAGTGTCTGACTAGGGTGGGAGAAAGGCAGCTCCCCAAGGGAGGAGACTCGCTGGCTGGGCACACCAGCCGCCTCTCACAGCCGTGGTGCTCAGGCCTCAGTTGGTGGTGCACTGAGCAGGCACACAGTGAGCCGCACGTGCACCTGTCAGGTGGGCTTGTCCCGGACATCATCTGTTCAGTGTCATCGTCACCCTCCCTCCACCTCGTCATCAATAGCCGTCACTCTTTATTAAACACCCCCTTTATGCCAAGCACTGCATTACGCATATCACCACGAATCCTCACACAAATTCTATGAAATAATTGTGTTTCCATTTTTACTGTGAGGAAAACGAGGCAGGCTCAGAAAGTTTACGTGATTTTTCTCAAGGACACACTGATGGTAAGAAGCTAACGTCAGATTTGGGTCCAGCTCTGGCTGATTCCACTGTGCCGTGCTGTATTCCCTTAGCCGGGCATTTGTACCTTGCCTGTTACCTGTGGGAGTTCCAAGGCCTACCTATGCACCAGAATATTCAGTCAGGGTGGAACCAGCTTTCCTCATGGAAGATATTTTAGAGTATTTTTGTTGCCATGTATTCAGTCGGACCTCTGCCTTTCTCTCACCCTAAATTGCTTCCTAGAGTAACTTGAGCATTGGGGAGAATAAGAACTAAAAATTATATGCTGTGAACCTCTCCCAGGAGAAAACATCATGCTGATTTTATACAGGCCAAAAGCTCAGGTGTATTTTATGCGGATTTTCTCAATTGGTGACTTCAACCTTTTTGCATTTGGCACTTATTAGGGGCTCTCCAGGGACCTCCTGCTCCACGGAACCTCCTCCCTCCAAGATATTGCAATCTAGTCAGGAGGCAAAACAGACACACAAAGTAAGCAATTAGAGAACAGGGAAGTGTTAAATTGTATGGAGCCGCTGCTGGAAGTCAAATAGTGTTGTTTGAAAGAGGAAATACTTTCCTAGGGTGTGTGTGCATGCACTAAGGGTAAGGGTGTTTAATGGGCTTATTTGAGGACAAGTCGGGTTTAAGGAGACAAGGCTCTTTCCAGGCACAGACTTGTAGAAAGCACTGGTAGCCCAGAGTCCGGAGAAGTGATCAGGACTGGAGGAGGAGGAGGTTCCCAAGTTCCGTCTAGGGATGGCATGAAGGACACAAAAATAAATCGGTTTTGGAAGGTTTACATTGGGAAAGAAGCATGGAGAGGGTTAAGGAACACCTGTTGTAGTCAGAGGATGAGGAGGAGAGAGAACTGAGGAAGATCCTGTCACAGGAGCCAAGAGAGAGAAGTGTTCGTTGGAGAGAGAAGTCCGCAGTGTGACCAGCCACAGAGAAGGTGAGCAAGACACGAATGGAGAAAAGGGTAGTGGGGTTCTCTAGTGCAGGGCCTGTATGTGGGTCCATGATCCAAGTTCCTCATAGGCAACAGGGCTGGCCCCCTGGGAAATCTAGTAATTTCATAGCCTCAGTTTACCTACCTTAATAACTTAGACACACCCTTCCTGGGAGCCAGAGACCTCTAAAGTAATTCATTTGTGCAGACCCCAAGATGTAAAGCATTAAATGACATGAACAAGTCAACTTATAAACAAAGAGTTTATAATTAATTTATAATTAACTACGTATGTCAATATGCTATGCATGGGCCTGCACCCGCAACTGCAAACCCCAGCTCCAGCAAGAATCAGTTTCCAACAACAACAACAAAAAAAGGAGCAAGAGAGAAAGAAAGAGAAGAATTTTTGCAAGAATTTGAAGTGTTCAAAAGTACTTTTGGGGAAAACAAGGATGCTCAGAGGGGATCCAAGTGACTGCTGTGCCACAGAGGCCGGTCTTCTTCACAGGCAAGTGCAGGGTCGATCCGCAAAGCCACGTAGCCGTTCGGGAAAATCACTGTGTCATCTGCAAGGTACTCTTTATCAGTATCTGTAATCATTTTGCTAGAGCCTAAATATTATTAGTGTACTAGAAATAACAGTTTATGAACCAAAATATTTTTTAAACACTTTGTAAGAACATAATTCATTCTAAACAACAACAAAAAGGCATTAGGAAGTGCTGCAGGCAAAGAATTTGCCAAAAGCGAATGTATTGGAGCCTTACACTGTTTTACCCGAAGTGCTTCTTACTCACCGACGCTTTGGGACAGTAGAGCAAGGAGGACATGCCCATCGGCCAGATGCGGCCCAGGGAGGTCATAAGTCTTTCCAAGTTAACACACCACCTTAACTACACTCCTGACAAACACCCCTCGTTCCATTCCTAATCCCTTAACAAACGTTTGCTTATATAATGAATAGGAGCCCCAAACTGAAATGGCCCAACTGCGGAAATAAATACAAAACAGCTGCCAGAGCTGCTGGTATAAATTCCAATGGGTGGTTCATCTTCAGGGTATGTCCTCGAAGCCTCCGGGGAGGGGTGTTTTGTCAGTGTAAGTGTGAAACTCTCATGTTTTAGCATATGAAAATGTTTCCTCTCTGGCTGCCAGAGAAGAACAAGAAAAGCCAAGTTATAGATTTACCTCATGGAAACACGGTCAGTGGCAGCAAAGATCCGGGATGGGGTCCTGGTTAGGAGCTCGGCCTGTGCCCTGCAAACGGCTCCTTCGGCTTCAAACGGGCTTTGTCCTGATCGACAGAACACAGTAGGCGTCACGTAGTTGCTCTGAAAACTCTGCTACTAGCAATGACTTGATTGTGCCTTACAGATTTCTACCATTAACAACAGCAATGTCCTTAACATCTCTGCTGCCTCTATTCCTTTATTTGGAAATTATAACTACTTGTCCCTCTCACTTTCCACATTTTTTTTTATGGAGAGTTCTTCAGCTTAAGTAAAAGAATCTGCCAGCATCATTAACTGGCACCTGTGGGATACAAAAAAAGAAAAAGACATGGAATTTACCCTTCAGGGATGTATCATTTATATGGGAAGATGAAATATATATACACATAAAATATACTTAGTAGATAATCATCGGCCCAACTGGATCAAGGACGAGGCTTTTTGGTTCTACTCTAAATGTAATGAGAATTCAGAAAATGGTAGGCCTAGCTAACAGTTACTGAGGTTGTGTACTTTGTGGAGCTGTGTGCTCAGTTAACTCCCCAAGGCACCCTACCAGTATGTGCTATTTTATCGAGGGGGGAATGGAATCTCCATGAGGTTAAGTGACTGGCTGGTAAACAGCAGAGCCAGAACTTCAGCCCGAATCTCTCCGACTTCAGGACTCATGCTCTCAACCGCTGCATGCTCCTGGGTTTTCGCTCAGGGATCCAGGATTCAATTATCCCACATCTGCCCTCCTCACTTCCTGGACATTTGATTTCTGGATTAGGGTCAGAAACATTTTCCTCCCTGTGTGATTTGTTCCTGGCAGAAGGCAGTGGCAGGTTGAGAGTGGCTTAAAGAAACCTCAAGACTGAGAGCCGTGGTCTTGCCACCCCTCTTTTCAAGGCGGAAATTAAGCATTGAGTGAGGTTTATCGGGGACTATGATGAGACAGCTTTTATAGGTGAGTGGATTTCTGCACCCCGATGGACCTGTGCTTCATTACCAGTGCTGAGACGTATAGGATGGTTCGGAAGCAAAGGGGGAAAGAGAACACGGCAACCTAATTGGTCACTGCCATGAATCTATACTCAGGGGACAGATAGCACGACCAGAGGTAATAGCTTACACACATATTCTTGAGCTGTGCAATAGATGGAAAAGGGTCCCAGATGGATTGGGCAGGGGCTTAGTTCCGGGATTATGATGAGACAGTGGGTAATTATTGAGTGGCAGGGCCTCAGCCCTGATTAGTATCTGCAAGCTTGTTCCCCTCCTTCAGAGGAAAGCATTGATAGAGATAAACCATGCTGCTCCGTGTCCTTTCTGCAGCACAAAACAACACATTTCAATCTAACAGGATCAGGTCTCCTCTTTGATCACAATCTGTTACCTAGATGTCTTTGCAAATTAATCAGTCCTGCTTGTTTAGCTTCAGTCAGTTTGTACTGCTAAATTAATAAATGTACCAGGAGCAACAGAAAACATAATTAAATTCTACAGTTTAATCTCCACGTAATAATTTTGACCTTAGTCTGGGTCTCCCATTCCAGCCAGTAGAATGCAGAAACAAGCCCAGCCTTTCCTGGGTGGTTCACATGAATAACCTACAGGTGGACTTTGTGAAAATCAGAAATCCTGACATAAAAATGCACACAAAACAAACACATTTTTGAAAAAGCATGTGACAGGCTTTAAGACAGAAAAGGCAGGTGAACTAAGCAGTTGAGATTTGGGGCTGTCTTTAAAATAGAAAGCACCCTTTGGCAGAAGTACAAAAACTTTATTGTTTAAAACACAAAGGGTATATGTTTGTCAAATTCAATACCCTAGGAGATAGAAACACAGCACCCCACTAACAGGCTGGGAGCTCTTCTGGAGAGAACTTGGAACCTTAACCTGGGGTCTTTCATAATGGTCTGATGTAATGCTTACTTTACTTGAAGGTCATCCAACTGATAACCGGGCTTGCGGGCACTGACAGGGAGGCCGTTCCAGCTCACACAACACCCTCGGTCTGAGTTTTCCTGTAGGCCTTAGAGTGCTTTTGTAGATTTTTCCTTGGGTACTTATTAGAATGGTGAAAATGTTTTCGTTTATTATGTGAACACCCATGTGTACTTTTAAAAGCTGGTCATTTTAATGTTAGTAGAACGTGGGCAGAGAAAATTATTTGATACGCAGCTGGAGCGAATTGTTGCATTTGGTTTGGGTTCAAGGCCTTGGGTGGCATTTTGCTGTCTTTATCTAAAGTTTATCATGCTGGCACTGTTCCCTTGACTTCTAGAGACAATGGAACCAGGGCAAGATGCTGACCTGGGAACAGGGAAATGAACATTCATGACTGAACTCTGCCACCCTCTGATGACCTGGGCAAGGCACTTGACCTCTGTGGGTCTCAGCTTTCTCACTTGAAAAATAAGGGAGTTTGACAAGATATTGTCCAACAGACGAAAATTCTGTGTGTCCATGATTCCACTCACACTGAGTCAATGGGAATTAAGGCAATTGTGGCAATAATACAAACCAAACGGACGCTTTCCCCACCTCTCCACGACTGAAGTATTTCAGGCAAAACTGGTTGTTGAATTTAGTTTTTAACCTGAATTATATAGATAATTGCCTTAGTTCTGCCACTTAATTTTGTGTCTGTCAGCCCAGGCTTGATGGTTCTACCAGATAACGGATGATTAAAGTATTTGTTTAAATAACCAGCAGTGTGGAATTTTCATTCAGCTCCACTAAAAAAGAGGGAAGGGGGACGTGGAGGGGGTGAGGGTGGAGGAGGGATTATGCATAATTTGAAAGTGTGTAATATTTGGGTCACCAATGTTTTACCTAAAATGAAATGATTTCATTTAAAAATTAAGTTGGTCTTGCCACAAAAGATTGCCAACATAAATTAAACATGAGGAATGCGGCTGTGCAGTGAGATGTTAAAATACAGATGGTTTCTGAAAAAAAAAAAAAAAAGGAAAAAGGCTTAAAGGAAAGGTTTTAACCTGAAATTAATTCAAGTATTATTTACTTAAATAGTCTGGCATACATTTGTGTAAATATACCATCTATTTTTATAAGAATGACTTTATTTTTGCACTCTGATTTACAGATCACAAATGTCTGGTGGAGGGAGGAAGGAGTAGTTTATACACCTGATTTTCTGCTTAAAAAGGCTGACAGATTAAAACAATTAACTTACTTTTATGATAAAATAACTCACTGCTACTTACACAAAATGGTTCTTATCGTGGTTCCCTTTTCAGCCTTTTCCAAAAGCACCATCAATATTACTTAATATGTGGAATTCCCTGAGGAAAATCTATTAAAGTGTCCGTATGTCACCCATGTGAATAACAAATGAATTAATTATGACTGGTGCAATTACAAGGAATAGTTAATGAAGTCGTAATGACCAGACTCTGGTGGTTAATTTTCAAAGCACAGTGAGGGGGAGTGTGGCAAAAGGTCCCCAAAGAAAACAATAAGCTTTGTGTACTCACCTTGGAGTGCTGGTCTTTGAGTGCACCACACAACGGGGCTTGTGGACAACACTACTCGAACCCTGCTCTCCCTCCAGCCAGCGGTCAGCTCACACGGGTTCAGCGTCCCAGCAGCAGCAGCCCAACGGCAGCAGCCATCCCGTGGCTCCAGGGGACCAAGGCTCCCCGCAACAGCAGCGTCTGACTTTAAGGACGGAGCAAGAGGGAAGGGTGATGGGGAGGAAAGTTTCCATGACAATAGTGTTTCTATTGATTCTGTCCACTTACAATTCACCTTTTCCAGATATTAGTTAGGGCAGCTTAGAAAAACACACAATGTTAAGCAAGATAAATTAAACATCAGCGAGAAACGTGAAGTGAAAGTGGATGGGGTCAGGAGGGAGGTGGGTGGAGAAACTGCTGGCCTTTCCTGGGCCTCTCACTTCCTCATCTGAAATACATGGGGGTTGACTAGATCGTCTCCGAGAGACTGAAAGTCTGTGTGTTTCCTTTATGGTTCTTAGTTCTGAAAAGCAGATTTGACAGGGAAAAGCAGTCCTGACTTCATTTTCTAGTGTCCGGGTTGGAAGGTGGTTATGTTACAGAAGGAGAAAGCGAAACAGTTACTCGGGAGAAACACTAGTACCAGCACCGTCTTCTGTGTGGAAATAACACACTGACAACCTGGTGTCTGGCTGTACCTTCTTCAAACAAACACGCTCAAGAAACAGGCTACTGAAGACATATTTTTCAAGTTCAAGGATGCAAAACCATATTGCCATCTTATTGGTAATTAAGAGGCCTATCCGTCAGTTAAAAAAAAAATGGTAGGTCAGGAAGCTTGAGTCCTTACCACAATGAGGAAAGTCCTGGCTAGATCCCTTGGGTGCTTGTGCCAAGCCCCTCTTCCTGAGGGTCATGTTCTTCCTGATAGGAGCAAGGACTGGGCAGCCGTCGAAGCCCGGGAAACTGGTGATAGCGAGTTAGCCACGCAGAAACGCGGAGGATCAGTTTCTAATGCCACCACCCCCTTCCCCTCCATGAATGTATTTATTCACCTCTGTGGATGGGAATTAGCTAATATCTGTCAAAATAACAACTAACAGGATCCAAAATACACAGAGGACTAAGTACTTACTGCCTAGGTATTTTGATAGTGCTTTATCTGGATAATCTATGCTCGTTTTTTTTCAAGTTTTAAATCCATGTCAAGGTCTATCCCAGCTGTCCATCTCTGGTTGGTTCACCATTTTTCAATGCCAAAAGGCATTCCAATAGGAAGCTCTCTTCCAACACATTTGTGAGCACCGCCTCATCAAGGGAGAAGGTTCTCGTGCGTTGTGCTACACAAATGACCTCCTGCGTCATTTGATTAGGTGCTGTGGATGCAATGATAAACCTTCTAAATGTCTATCCTTGTAAAACTTGTAAGATAGGCCCTGGCTGGCATAGCTCAGTGGATTGAGTGCAGGCTGCGAACCAAAGCATCACAGGTTTGATTCCCAGTCAGGGCACATGCCTGGGTTGCAGGCTATGGCCCCCAGCAACTGCACACTGATGTTTCTCTCTCTCTCTCTCTTTCTTTCTCCCTTCCCTCTCTAAAAGTAAATAAATAAAATCTTTAAAAAAAAACCTTGTAAGATAGTAGATGCCATATTAGTAAACAAACACTCATAAATGTGTGTAGAATGCTCTACATCAGGGTTGGAAATGGGCTAGGAAAGGCTAAGGGAAGGGCACCTAGACATGTCTGGGGTAGAGTAGGGTGTTCAGAGAGGACTTCCTGGAGGAAGCTGACTTTTAAGCTATGATCTAAAGGACAAGGGAAAGGCAAAAGGGCATGTCTGGAAAGCAAGTGTTCTAGGTGTAGGAAACACCAAGGGCCAACTCCTGGAGTTTACATATTAATGATAGTCCACTTGTACTGAGTGCTTACTTTGTGCATGGCCTAATACTAAGCACTATATCCATACTTGCCCCCCCTCCCATAATAATTCTATGAAGCATAGTATCCTCACTTGACAAATGGGAAAACTGAGCCATGGAAAGTTTAAGAAGCCTGCCCAAGAGGACTGAGCCAGTAACTGGAATATTTAGGATTCAATGCCAGGTAGTCTACCACCACGTTTAACAATGGAAGCTACGCTGCATTCTCAGGATGCTTTGCAGGGACTGGACTGAAGTGATCAGTGTGGTCGGTGCGTGGCAGGGCAAGGACAGATGAGGCCGCAGATGGTAGCAGAGACCCAGTCGTAGTTATTGTGTAAGTGGTGCCCCTTTCCCCTGTGAGCCGCAACAAATAAACCTCAGCGTGGAAAAATGGGGAAGGATAGCCATACGTGGCAATGGACACCCTTTGAAGGAGTTATTTTTTTTTATCTCCTCTTTCAACTTCTCTGCAGTAAATATAGGTAAAAGTAACTTGATATACATTAAGCAAAATATCACTGGTTGGACTTCAATAACGTACAGCCCTGTACTGTATTAATGGAAATATTCATAATAGTAGCAGTAGTAACCAGTTGGCCTTGCAGACTTTTTCCATCCTAAGCTTCTTAAAAGGTAGGACATTCGAACTTCCATCTATGATTACAGTGCGTTGCATCAGTCCAGAAGGCCTCTCAGAAATTGTTTGCTGCCGAGACCACAGACAGGAAACCCTGTCCTATTGCTTTAAGGAAGGTCTGGGGCCCCACACAGGAAAGTAAAAGAAGCACCCCCTGCCCCCTAGCATCTCTGAGAACCCCCATCTGGTCATGTGATCACACTTCATGAAAATAATGAGGGTACAATGAAACTACGTATTAGAGGAAAACTACGTTTTCCTTACGTATTAGAAATGAGCATAAAAAGGGAAAGAATCTAATGCAACATGTAACAAGAAATGTAGTGGATGGATTTGAATACTGTGAGGTAGAATAATCATACTCAATTAGCTTGTTTGCTTCTTTAAGAACAAAAGAACTGTGTTTCAAAGAAGTAAAAATTCAGGTTATTTAACCCCCTTCTTGGGGTCTCATTCTACTTTTTGGCCCCCTAAGACATGGCGCTAAGGTCTTATCTGTGCAGGAGCCTGACCTAAGCGAAGGTTTTTGAGGTTCCCACCTCCAAGGTACAGGAGCCAGTCAGCCTTTGTTTGGTGCTCAGCATGTGCAGAGCATGAATGCTTCAGGCAGAGAGCTGGTTTAAAGAGAGCCGGCCCTGTTGTCACACATAATGAAGTTAAGGAGAAAAAGCATAGAGCTAAAACGGTGAAAAAGATGGAAGCTACCATCTTAGGGTGAGCTCACCATACACCAGCCATTGCCCACAGTGCTGAGCACGAAGGATCTGACTTCGTCTGCATGGTTCTTCCCCGTGTTAGGACTATCCCATTTTATAGAGGAGGGATTGAGGTTCAGAGGGAGCAAGCAGTCAGCTTGAGTGTGGAGTTGGTGAACGTGGACTGGGATCTGGGTCTAGCCTGTCTTACTCTAAGGCTCCTGTACTTGGTCCCAGAGAAGAGTTTAATGGAAGTGTGCACTGTGTGGCTACCTAAGGAACTACAAACGGAATCCATGAAAGTCAGATAAAGGGTGAAGGGGACTGAAGTGGTTTTAAAGGAGAGAAGGGTGTGAAGTAAACTTTATTTCCACTTTAAGTACACTGTCTTGAGGTATTTGGTTATCATCTATTAAATCAAATATTAAGATCTGATTTTTTGGATGCATTTTTTGATTCCAGGCACTTTAAATCCATCTCTATGCCCACTTTGTTTTTATTTCCCTTTAAGAATTAAGAAATCAGATGAAATGTTGTTTTACAGAGATGTGTCACTTAAACAATTTTAAACTCCTATGTCAATCCTGTACATGAACCCACTTAGAAATGCAAGACAATATCTCTTTGCTTTAAAATATAAAAATTGTGAACATAGTGCATTGTAACAAGTAGACCAAGCAAATCTTGGTGACTAGAGTGGAAACATTTAGAATATACAAGTGTACAAAATGTACAATTTAACACATTTATTTATGTATTTATTTATTTGAATAAGCTAATTTCACAGAATGCAAAGCTTAGAAGGTATCAGAAAGATATATAGGGAAGTATCACATCTACACTTGTTCCCCAGCCACCTAGTTTCTGTCACTCCAGAGACATAATATATATATATATATATTATGTATATATATATTATATATACATAATATATATATACTATTTGTATGTGTTTGTGCAAATCTATTACCACCATTGAAAAAATCTGGTAGCATTCTGCAGGCACTGTTCTCTCTTTGCTTTTTGACCTAACAATACCTCTGGCAGACCAGTTCACACTGGCACCTAAAGAGCTTCCTCATCTTTGATGGCTGTCCGAATAATTCATGTACCCACTCTCCTACTGACATACGGAAGTGATTCTATACACAAACTAGTGTATCTGTAGGAGAAATTTTTAGAAGTGGAATTGCCAGGTCAAAGGATAAGTGCATTTAAAAACTTAATTGCCCCAAACTGTTTTCCACAGAGGTGGCGCTAATTGAAATGCCCCCAGCAGTCTACAGCGGAGCCTGTTTCCCCAGTGTCTCACCAGCACAGCACCTCGCGCTGTTCAATCTGTACTAATGTGATAGGTGAAAGCACCGTGCTGAGCCAGAGATGCCAATTTACATTGACTTGACTCCTCTTGGTGTCTCTTGTGATGCAAAGCCCACGGTCAGGAATGACTAATTGCCCCCTTTGAAGGATTACCGAGGGAATGACACAGGCTAGTGTGTTAGTGTACGTGGTCTGAATGGTCACGCCTTAAAAAAAAAGCAAAGCTCATTGTTCACTGAAGGAAATATACAAATCAACAGCCTAGAAAGTCATTTGCAAAAGGTGAGGCCTCAAGTTGGCAAAATTGTGTTTCCTTGACTTGCTGTTTCAAGTTTTCTAGATTGGGAGAAAGCCCTTCACAAAGAGCAGATTGTATCGGGAGAGCTCTGAGAATCAGCTGCCAGACCGCCACCCTCAGACAAATCCTTGACAAGTTCCTGCTTGGAGGATCCTCACTTTCCTTCAAAAGGGCCTCAGGATCACTTTAAAGTCGGCATTAAATCCCAATTGCTCCTAATTAGGCCTCTGTTTTGTTAATTGCTCTGGGAACTCCCTGGGAGAGCGTGGCAAGCTCTGGACCTGCAGTGGTTCGGCTCTAAGTGTGAGCGACGGCCATTGAGAGCGGGACCCTCCCGGCTCCCAGAGGCCTGGCTCAGAGCTGCCCCGAGCGGCCTAGAGAGCGGAGGCAGGGAGCCAGCTGGGCCTGGGGTCGGCAATGTAAGAGCAGCATGACCTGCTGCCTCTTCCTTAAAAAGGAGTCTGGAAAAAGGTT